TAAGACATATCATGTAGAGTCACTCTGCACATGCTCAGTTTGGTGTGTATTGCTAGAGAGGGATTTCTTGGAAGAGTGCATGTGATCAGCACAGGGCCAATCAGCGCTGTCCAGACAGAGGTCAGGGGTCCTGCATCCTCCTACAGGAGAATGAAAACTCCTCCCACAAGCTTTAACCAGTGCTTGACTGGACACTGATAGAAGTCACAAGACTGCTATATACTGCTGATGAGAAAAGGTATTTAGCAGTTTATATTTACTAAAATAATTGCACTTCCATGTTCTGTGTACTATGGGAGACCAGATATAGTAAATGCAGGGTCCTGGGTTTAGTAACACTTTAAAAGAGTAGTATGGGTTAAGCTAAAAAATAAATAAATAAAATTATACTCACTTAAGTGGATGCAGCATCTGTCCCCCCACTGGCTTTAAGACTGAGAACTGAGCGATCAAAGACCACTGATCGCTCAGTTCTCAGTGTTTCGTGAGCAGAGAGCTGGTGACTATCAACGCTCACTGGAGCGCTGGGCTGTGAAGGGGGTGGGAGCAGCTGACTCAGGATCTCAGGAGTCAGGTGCCACTCCAGGCTTCTGGGTGGATCCCAATCATATGGTTGGGATCATTTCAGAGCCTGGACCAGCTCTGTGATGTCAGTCGACAGCAGGCTTTAGCCCACTGATGGCTGAAAATGGATCACAGGGGTGTAGAACGAACTGCACTCCTGTAATACCCAAGAGAAATAAAGCCAAAAATGTTTTAGCTATACTTCTTTAACAATTACAAGAGAACTGGTGTGTTGTAGTATAAAACTTTTTGATTATTGAAAAAAGATTTTCCAGCATGTCCCTTCATCAAAAGTGAAACAAACTGTAATGAGTGGGGATTGCTACACACTGATCTGATTTCAGCTCGTTCCTGCTGAACCGGCTGAATTTCGATCATTGTTTGGCCAGCTTAAGTATAAATTGCCAAAATGAAAGGTTCTAATCCTTCCTCATTCTATTAAAAATGTAACACTTTGACTGCGGTACCACTTAAATCAGCTTTAAATAGCCCATTGGGTTAATCTAAGATCTTACCGCCCTTTTTTCAATAAGGCAGTGCAGTGGCCAGTCACATTTCTGTACACACTTTACTGTAGCAAGATAAGCTTAGGAAGAGATCTAATTGGTGGTGATGAGTCAGAACGAGAACTCATCTTTCATAGAACTGACAATAGTATAGTAATTTCAATGATTAGTATGATTTACTGCACTTTGGATACTATCACTGCTTTTGCACTGCTTCAGTTTAACCAGAAAGTCTCATACATGCTGTCCAACATACCCAGCTCAAAGCTGAGCTGCATCAGCCACTTGTCTAAATGAGGTAATTTGTTGATCTGTTATTTTAATGGTTCTAAGTTTCCAAGATCTTAAAAAGCGAATTGGAACACTCCTGTGTGTAGTGATAACAATGGTAGCTGGAGTTTCTCGTGCAGGGTCAAGTGATGGACTTTCTAAAAACCCCGTCCGATAACAGAGGAATGCAGAGTAAGAGGCCCTAAAGAGTCTCTTATGGGACATACAAGATATACAGTATGCCGGACCATTGATGGCTACAAGTGAACAACTCAATATACAGCAGGACTGTGCTGAGAGCACATCGCATGAGATAAAAGACTAATTCACTTTACTATATACATCCCCCATCACTGGAGAAAACAATTCCGTCCCTGGTCTTAACCAAAAAAGCGGATCAGGGTCTCTTAAAATAGTAGCGATTCTTTTATTAACCATCAATAGGTACACGTCATCCTCTAGGAATTAGGCGTGAAACCTGCTGGCCAGAACCCCAAATAGGGTCTAATGATTCCTCAAAATAATTTTCCATTTTACACATTCTTTTGAGATGAACTCGATTTGAAGCTCTAGATTTTTGGCACACTTACATTTTAAGGACCCACAAAGACCTTATGCTGACCTCAATTACCCAACATTAAAATTGTTGAGTCCTTTTGTTTTATAAAGGCAAACTTATAGTATAGTCATACAAATGGTTGGAGGATTATATAAAATTAATCAAATCTTAATCTTAATCAAATTAATTAAATCTTAATCAAATCTTAATCTTAGGATATTTGGGTTTTGCAAGAACCCCGAGGCATAAACTTAGGCCAAAGCAGTTAACACTTACAGTATGCAAATCCTCCTAAAGTTGTAATCATAAATAAGTATCAAAACCCAGAGAACTTTTTTTTTTAGTTCTGGATAGTAATGGGAGGGTTAGAATCCCTGTTACCAGCTATGTCCCTGCTGGGGAGATTTACCCCTTGTCCTGGTAACTACTTTCACTAGACTGAAACTGAGAGAAAAGCTTAATTAAACAAAGAGAAATTGTTGAAAGTGCTTAACTTCTATGCACACAATTCAATGAAGCGTGCAGGATTGAGCAAAGTTTTTTTGTAGATTCTACACCTACCCTTTAAACAAAATACAAATAAAGAAAAATGAAATTGTACCTAGTATCTGTACTTCTTGGGTGATGCCATAGACATCGATCAAGGCCCAGAGAGGACTGGAGACTTTAACTCCACAATGAAATAATATAGGCTCCTCATCATTGATGCTGTAGAAAATTCTTCCATGCCGGTCAACCCAAAATGCTAAAATATTGTCCCTCTGTGCAAATCTCTCTGGTAAAGCTTTTGCCCAGTACCCAGGTCGGGTAACCAGATCAGGGCATGCATACTTGGGTATGTCTTCAGTTTTCATTTGCGCCGGATCATGAATTGTGAATCCAAAACGTAGAGCTCCACTCCAGCCATGGTGGACGGACACGAGCTTCAGACGGACTTTCTCATACAGGTGAATTGGGCGACTGGTAAAGGTAATTCCGTTACAAAAGCTATTACGCCGGATGGCTTTTCTTCCATGAGTATCAAGACGGATGTTCTTCCCCTTAGTTTGGCAATGAAACCGTGGAGACTCAGTTCGGGAGAGGACAAGTCTTCTGTCCTGACCACAGTGGAGAAACGTGTAGCATGGTCTATTGGCTACTGGACGACTGTGATGGCTTGTGTCTGGAGGAGGTAAAAAAAAAAGAATGATAGAAGATCAGGTTTGTATGATATGAAGTATGTGCAGAGTCTTTATAAACAAAATCCCATTAAAAAGCTCTCCATTTGGGGATGAAACCTGCCCCATGCTTTGACACCCCATACAAGCCTCCTCTACCCCCCAGGAACCTCACCTGCTCATACATTCTCACTCAAGTCCTTTGAACTTACGCATTTCACCTACGTGTTTAATCTCATAATTAACCTTTGTAATTTAGCTCTTATAAGGGTGAAAGGTGTCAGCCAAAGGACTAGGGCAGGGATATGTTTGTAACTTTCTGAACAATAAATGGAGTTTTAATTGTGGGATCAAGTATGCAGCTATTACTCCTATCTGCTGCAGACAAGCTCAGGAACAGGATCAGCATATGTGGCTGAAAGCAGCAGTTGAACGTGGCTTATAGCCGTGTCAGTTTGTTTTGATTCAAACATTTCAGTGACGTAGGAGTAGAGGATCGGTGTGTAGTTGGCCCTCTTGTTGCCATGGCTGATGTGACTCCTCACCTCTTCTCCTATTCCACTATGTCTATATACGGAACACTGATGTCACCACTGAAAAACAGTTTTTATTACAGCAGTTTGATGCAGTCTAATAACATATGTATTCTTATTATATGCTATTGGTTATTGTGCTTTTCATTGTACCTTTGACTTATCAAACAGGCTGCACTTCTTTTATAAACAAGAAACATGCAGAAGTATAGTATTAAAATACTGTATATGTTACAAAAAGTCTTTATTTTTAATTTTTACACAATAATTCACAAATACATAATACCATTCTCATCAGTGCCCTGTCCACTGGCACTCATTGGAAACCTAAGAAAGAAATACAAAGGATGCCACAACTAAGCTCCTTTCTAAGCTGTAACTGTCAGCTGCCTTGCTGATATTCAGGCTCCTTCACATCCTGAATCACTTAACAAGCATGCACTAAGTGAAGGCAGATCGGAGTACTTCTATTGGGCCAATTAGTGTGAACAGAAGCCAGAAGATCAGTAGTAGAACCAGGTAACAAGCATTTCAGGAGGAGTTTAGTAATGGCAGTCAATGTATTTCTGGTCCCATATTCTTTAAAGTGTTACTAAACCCAGGACTCTGCATTTACTATATCTGGTCTCCCACAGTACACAGAACGTGGAAATGCAATTATTTTTAAAAAAAAACTCACTGGCCGCTTTATAAGGTACACCTTGCTAGTGTCAAGAAAATATCCCCCACACCATTACACCACCAGCAGCAGCCTGAACCTATGATACAAGGCAGGATGGATCCATGCTTTTATGTTGTTATGTCAAATTCTGACCCTACCATCTGAATGTCACAACTGCCGCTCACTGGATATTTTCTCTTTTTTGGACCATTCTCTGTAAACCCTAAATATGATTGTGCGTGAAAATCCCAGTAGATCAGCAGTTTTTGAAATACTCAGACCAGCCTGTCTGGCACCAACAACAATGCCACGTTCAAAGTCACTTAAATCCCCTTTCTTCCCCATTCTGATGCTTGGTTTGAACTTCAGCAAGTCTTCCACACCACGTCTAGATGCCTAAATGCATCTAAGCTGCTGCCATGTGAATGGCTGATTAACAATTTGTGTTACGAAGTAATTGAACAGGTGTACCTAATAAAGTGGCTGGTGAGTGTATAAACTGCTAAATACCTTTTCTTGTTAGCAGTGAATAGCAGTCTTGTGACTTCTATCAGCTGAGCACTGGTTAATCTTGCAGAAGGAGTTTTCATTCTCCTCTGACTGTCCTCTGAGGCTGCATCACCCCTGATCCTCTGTCTGGACAGCGCTGATTGGCCCTGTGTCGATCACATGCACTCTTCCCCCCAAAACAAATCTTCTCTAGCAATTCACACCAAACTGAGCATGACTCCTAGAGCTCTGTACTATTAGCAGATGGATTGGGGACAGTAGAAGGGGAGGATCAGAGAAGGCAGGATCAAACCGTCTTTTTACACAATGCAGAGGATTAACCCCTTAGGTTCCACAGTGAGTATAACAAGCATGCGTTACTGCACATACAGACTGATTTTACTGTTATGGGTTTAGTAACACTTTGGTTTGATTTGTAGGAGGCAATGGACTGTGGAACATTTTGTAGCATGGTAAATAAAACCAGGAAAACGTGGTGTGAAACAGCCCCAGGATACCAGCGCTGAAAAGTAAGATTGATACTCATAAAGCAACTGCTCATAGAATACTACACAACTGCCAGTCAAAAGTATATCCCTGCAAGACATGGCCCACTTCATAAACATCTGTTACATGAAAAAAATACTATACGGCCTTTTCAGCCACATCATATATTTCAGCCATTAGTAAACAATGGCATTCCACTCAGCAAGCTGCTTCAGCCATGCACTATAACACGTAGACTGAGAGATGGCTCTGTGTCTATACTAGATGGATATTCTAAAAACCTGAAAAGAAGGAAATAAATGGTCCCCACAGAGGATAAACTGTTCGGAAGCCTGTATACCTTCCTGTCCATTTACCCACGAGATCACAGCAGTTGTTCTGCAGTGGAAATATGCAGTGGAAATATGCAGTAACCATTTCCTTTATTATATATGAATTTGTTTCCAATCACAGGGCCCAGTGTTTGCCTGAAACGCAGAAGACGACAGGTAATGTAAATCCATCCCACTGGAAGTATATGTGCTGTTCCCCAGCCTTTCCTTCCTTCCTGGGGCCTTTGTGTTGGAAAGGTTTAACCCCTTTCCCTGCCTTTCAGCAGCTAGGTTACAACATACGAGGAGGACAACTGAGTTTAATAGACCATGGATGTGAATATATAGCGACTGTCCATTTCCTGCATTCATGGCATCCATAAAACTTGGAATATTCACATTAGATATTTATATATAATGTTACATAATTTGGTTGGAAAAGGGCAAGTCCATCTAGCTCAACCAATAGAAAAAACCTACATATACAGGACCCTATACCCAATGTTGATCCAGAGAAAGGCCAAAAAAAAAAAATGGGCCATGCTATAAACCACAGTCCAATTTTCTCTAGTGCAGGAAGTATAGGGTCCTACATATACAGGACCCTATACCCAAAGTTGATCCAGAGAAAGGAAAAAAAAAATGGGCCATGCTATAAACCATGGTCCAATTAGCTCTAGTGCAGGAAGTATAGGGTCCTACGTATACAGGACCCTATACCCAAAGTTGATCCAGAAAAAGGCAAAAAAGATGGGCCATGCTGTAAACCATGGTCCAATTTGCTCTAGTGGGGGAAGTATAGGGTCCTGTATATGTAGGACCCTATACCCAAAGTTGATCCAGAGAAAGGCAAAAAAAAAAAAAAAAAAAAGATAGGCCATGCTGTAAACCATGGTCCAATTTGCTCTAGTGGGGGGAAATATAGGGTCCTACATATACAGGACCCTATACCCAAAGTTGATCCAGAGAAAAGCAAAAAAAAGATGGGCCATGCTGTAAACCATGCCCCATATTTGCTCTAGTGGGGGAAGCATAGGGTCTTACATATACAGGGCCCTATACCCAAAGTTGATCCAGAGAAAGGGAAAAAAAAACTGGCCATGCTATAAACTATGGTCCAACTTGCTCTAGTGGTGGAAAAAAAAATTCTTACTGATCCCCTAGGAGGCAAATCTGATATTACCTGGACCGACAATATCTGTTGTTATTACAAATGTTAATATCCAGTTATCTTTTGTACATTTAAGAATGCATCCAGCTCTTGTTTAAAACAAGATCTGCTTTTAGCCTAGAAAAACATATTCCATATTAAAAACCAATGCTTCTGAATGGTTTCAAAATGGTCACAGACCCAGATCAAGTGGGTTAGAAAGTCATAGCGAAGTCCAGACTCTGGATTTACATACAGGTCAGTAAACAGGAAAGTACTGAAGATACTGGACCAAAAAGATACACCTACATCATTTCAGAAGGAGATGCCAGTAATGGTAACTTTCATGATTCCTCAATACAGAATTACTTTAAACCAGTGGTCTCCAAAACTGTGGCCTGAGGGCTGAATGTGGCCCTTTGCTTGCTTTTATCCAGCCCTTGCAGAATTATTCCCCCACTGTCAACAAACAGCATGGCATAGTCCCTGCCACTGACAATTGGGTACTACTCCTCTCACTGGTATCAATAATGGACCACTATCACTCCCATTTATACCAATGATGGAGCACTATTTCCCCTACTTACACCTACGATGGAGCACTATTACTCCTACTGACACCAACAATGGAGCACTATTACTCCTACTGACACCAACAATGGAGCACTATTACTCCTACTGACACCAACAATGGAGCATTATTACTCCTACTAACACCAACGATGGAGCACTATTACTCCTATTGACACCAATGATGGAGCATTATTACTCCCACTGACACTAAAGATGGCACACTATTCCTCCCATTGATATCAATGATGAGGCAGTAATACTCCTCCTAATATCAATGATGGGGCTTTGTTTACTCCCACTGATGCCAGGACATTTTCTTCTCCCACTTGCCACAGTCCTCCCCCCTAATGTTTGAGGGACAAACTGGACCTTTGTTTAGAACCTTTGGAGACCCCTGCTTTAAACTAATAGTATGTTTTGGCTAAGAGGGAGGATTTCCCTGGGTATTTATGAGGACACCTCCACTGCTGTCACTTTGTCCTCCTGGACAGATCCAGGCCCTCTACACAGCAACAGCTGAGGACGATTAATTGTTGGACGGACATGGTATATTTAGATCTCAATGCTTCTAAATATGTCTGCACAGGCTCAGGTGGAGCTCAACCAGATAGCATCTTCACATGATATAAATCAGCTACAGCTTGCTACAAGAACATTCCTACTGTACGAAAACATACAAACTAATTAACACTAATAAAACTGTCTTGCTTTTTTCAATGTTCTTTTTCTCTCAATATTAAAAAGGATTTTATTTGAGAAAAGCCTAATTTTGCCATCTGCAAAAACTG